TTTTCAGGAGGATATGTTATGTGTGCTTTTGTTGCCACAACACCACAGCTGCAGAACCATTCCAGTCTCTGAATGATTACATATCAGGAAAATTGCATCAGTCTTTTTGTGTCAGTACATGCGCGGAAGAAGCTGCTGCCATGATTGGACGGCTTTCTGGTTTCACCAGTCAGGCCAGAGAGGTCGCTTCTGAATGGGAGTCTACACACTGTGACATCCACAGAGAAATGCTGGCTAGCCAAAAAATGTCACCTGAACTTAACAACATTTAGCAGGATATAATTAAATTATCAACCACATTAAAGTACATGCCCTTAACTCACATCTGTTTGTGCAGCTCTGTGAGGAGATGGATGCAGAGCACACACGTCTTCTCTTATACAGAGAAGTGGGATGGCTTTCTAAAGGCAGATCGCTGGCCAGAGGTTTTGAGTTATGAGAGCCGCTCCAGAGATTTCTTTTAGAAAAACAGTCACCACTGGCAGCACATTTCAGTGACACAGAATGGGTCACAAAACTTGCTTACTTATATGACATATTCAACCTGCGCAGTGAACTCGAGCTGTCACTTCAGGGGAGAATGACAACTGTGTTCAAGTTGGCAGATAAAGTGGTTGCTTTCAAAGCCAAACTGGAATTATGAGGGTGACGAGTGAACACTGGGGTTTTTGACATAATTCAAACATTAGCAGAGATTTTGAAAGAGACTGAGCCAGGGCCTTCTTCCTCTCAGCTGGTGCGTGATCACATATCTCAGCTTTCAAAAGAGTCTGAGCATGCCTTCCCAACCACAAAAGACCTTGAACTGGGAAGGAATGGATCCATGACCCATTTGTGAATAAAACAGGTAAATTGACTCTGTCTGTGCTAGAAGAGGACCAACTGCTTGAGATCGCAAATGATGGCAGCTTTAAACATGTCTTTGAAACAGCTTCAAATCTCCATCCATACTGGATTAAAGTCAAGGCAGAATATCCTGAGATTGTCACAGAAGTACTGAAAAGCCTGCTTCCATTTCCAACAACCTATCTTTGTGAAAGCAGGGTTTTCTGCAGTGACAGCAACCAAAACAAAATTATGGAGTAGACTGGGCAGAAGCTACACACTTCTGGTGTCATTGTCTCCCATCACCACCAGATAGTTGCAGGAAAACAAGCTCAGGGCTCCCTCTGATTCTGCATTATGGTGAGTTGTATAATTATTTCATTATATATTACAATGTAATAATGATAGAAATAAAGTGCACAATAAATGTAATGTGCTTTAATCACCCCAAAACTATCCCGGTCCATCGAAAAATTATCTTCCAAGAAACCAGTCCCTGGTGCCCAAAAGGTTGGTGACTGCTGCTCTAGAGAAAAGTCTCTGCTTTACTTTATACAATTTCTGCATTACTTTATGCAAACTGTGTTTTAATGTTTTAAGGCTCTAGCTGAGAGTCAGCTTGATGGTCCAACAAGGGTTTTAAGAAGCACCACACACCTGGAATACCTGAGCCTCCATGTCACTAGTGCAGGTGGTACTTACACTTACCAGCAGTCACATTCAGGGCTGCTCTTGGTCAGAGGAGGAATACTGGGTTTAAGCCACAGGACAGGAATTGGCAAACTTACTGTTCAAAGGGCCAGGTAGTAATCATGTTAGGCTTTGTGAGACACATGTGATCTATGACATATACAATTCTTTCTTTAAAAGACCTCTTTCAAAATGTAAAAACCACTCTTAGCTCATGAGGCATAAATAGTCAGACTGCTGGCCACCACTCTTGTTTACTGTCTCCCGCCAGAGAAGAGAGTCAACTCTGAAGTCAGACCAATTAAAGCATTTCTCCTGGCCTGAGCATTCTAGTAGTTGATCTTGGGTATAGATAGTCTGTAACCTTCAAAGTTTCTGTTTTCACGTCTGTAGAACAGATTATAATATCTACCTTTTGGGGTTGTTGTGAAGCCTAGATTGTGAATACCCACCCATTTACCTGGTACAAGGAAGTTTCCCCAATAATGGGTGTAGTGGAAAGACTACCTTGTTTCTGAAAACTTCTTTTGCATTAGAATCCGTTGATATAACAGATTTCCCCCCCACGTTTTAGCTGGAAACATGTTTTTCTATAACAGACTAGTTATTTGCTTATCTTGTTTGTCAGTGACAGGGAAATCCAAGTCTTCCTAGATCCTATCGACTGCTGACTTGGGAGCAGAAGGGAGACCCTGGAAACATCTCCCAGGCTGTCATTCTCTGCTTTTGTGCATTCACCTGATTGCTTCAGCCATTTCTAACTTACTTCATCCACCATGTTGCTGCTTTTGTCAAAAAGAAAAAAAGTTACATGTCCCAAACCATTAGCTTCACACTGGCTCTAGAATTTGTTGCATGAATGTTCCACCCACCAAGGCAGAATACTCCTCTCTGGTCTACACCACAACAAGTCAGTTATTTGCACAGATCCTGGCACAATGAAGGTGTACCATTCCATTTCATATCTCATGGAATCTTCCTAGCTTCTGCTTAAGGTCTTAGGAGTCCAAAATCTTGTCCCTCTTTCCTATCCCAAGGGTGATGGTTTTAATAAGTCATACAGACTTGATTCACCCTCTAGGGAAGCATCTGTTCCCTTCCTCCCTTCTCCATCAGCAAATTCTGCTATATGTCCTTTCACTTCCCTGAGCTACAAATATAACTCAAATATTAGCTGATCTGTCTATTCCTTTAGATCTTGATAATATGGAATTAAATGCACAAATGCATACTCTTTGGAAGGGCAAATTCTCCCAACAACATCGTGAATTCCTAAGAATAAGGAAGAGATACTTATTCTCAGAGTCATTTCAGTCTGTTGGGCCTTTCTTCTGCATTCACCTCATGGATAAAATTGTGAAACTGTTACTTTATACACATGCACAAACACACTCACAAAAAGTATATGTGTGTCTAACAGATGTAAATACAGGTTTGGAGGAATTGTAAGAGAGAGTCTGCATTGCAAAAATGAGTACACTTTAAATGAAATATTAGATACTCTCATTCTTAAAATGTTTTACCCCATTCCCATGTAGGAATTTTACCAGTTTTTTAATCTCACAAAGAACTCAGGCTCTTGCCATATCCTCATCCCTCTACCTCACTTCCCTAACCATCTATTTTATTCTCTTCCCTTCCTCTCAGGAATAAAACACAAGAGGCTTTCTTTTAGTCTCTTGTGCAGAGCACTTTAAGGATCTTAACAGCTTTCACTCCTTTTGTTACTGCTGCTCTCAGGTCTCATCTTCTACCTTAGTTAGGGTAGAAGATGATAATAAGTTGAAGAAAGAAGAAAGAAGAAGAGGGAGAGGAAGAAGTTGTTACTTTCCTAAAAGAATGAGTATTTCCTCTTTGAGAAGAGTTATACTAGTAGCTGTAATTTTTAAAATGTACTCTATTACATATTATCTGGCTGAATTACCTCTTTAATTTTCATTTTCAGCCACTAATACTTAAGCTTAAATCAGTTAACCAGAAGCAAGAACCAAGAAAACAGAACTAAGAAAACGTCTGTTTTATTTGAGGAAAGAGAGCCAGGGAGAAAGCACAGAGGGCAAGTGTTTGGAGGTGCATGGGTGTGGATCAGACAAAATTCAACATCAAAATGCTGCTGGGGGCTAGTGGGGAAAGAGAGGCAGAACTGTAAGTAAGAGTATGGGAAAGCAGGGAAAAGAAAATGTATCTGTTTTACCTGGGGCAGGACCTCATCTTAGGTGTCACATATGTGTGGTTAAACCCTCTGGTAGAGTACACAAGAGGACAGGGGAGATCCTCCTTGACATGGCAATAACTAGAGAAACATCCATGGTTTCCCCTGTACCAATCTCCTAATGTCACTGTTGCTCTGAAAGCCTGCTGTGGCTCTGTCCTGCATGGGTGTGGGGACCCACTGACAAAGGTTGGACATAATTGATTATTGAGGCTGTAAACTCTACAACTTTAATGATGCATGATTGGGGAACAGGGGGCTGGTGAAGAGGGCGGAGGCCATTTTTTGTTGTTTTCTCGAGTCTGCTTTGGAATTTTCCCATATTTCTCTGTGTATAACAATAAACATTAGCATTTTCATATGTCATGAAAGTTAAAGCAAGATGTGGGAAATTCAATTGTTGAAGAGCAGAGTTCTCTAATTGCACTCCTCTGAGATTTCCATTACTTTTGGAAAATGCACATTGATGAAGAGTTTAATTATTGGTGGTGTTTCGTTTCTACAGATGGCCTAATTTCCAATCCACTCTCCCGCCCCAATGTATCTGCTTGGCTAGGGTAGCTCCCACTGGCTTCAAAGGGTACAGAGAGTAGAGCAAACATGCTGAAGAATGAAGTCAGGTCAGTGCTGATTTTTTATCATCTTCCCCAAGTCTGTGTCATCACTGCAGAAATTGAGTTGCTTTTGGGAAATTAATACATTAAGAATTCTTCAAAAGAGCTAGGAGCTGGAACTGGAATTTTTACTGGAAGGAGTTTTTCACAGCTAAACATGGTGTCCAGTCAGTTCTCATCTATTTTCTGAGACAGTACTGACTTTAATTAACATGCAAACTATCACGGCTTTGCAATACCTCCCCCAGCACTAAACCACACACACTGTCAAGCAGCTTGGCCCCTCAAATTCACCCTTACCATAACCTATGTAAAAACCCCGTATCTTCTCTGTTATTATCCAGCAAGGTTTAGGGAAACCCTTATTTTCCAAGCACTAAATGCCTTTGCTTAGACTCTGAAGATTTCCACAGACAGCAGTGCCTCTCACTGTGACCCAACAGACCTGCTCCTCCATATAGGTCTTGGTGACTCAAGGATCTCACAACAAGCACAGTTGGTGAAATGTAGGAAAACACCTACAGGAACAGTGAGGACCTTGCTAGCGAAACAAAAGCAGTGACTGAATGACTAGAAAAACAGTTCATTTATTTTCATGAAATTTTTCTCAAACATTCAGCAGAGAATCTGGAGTGAGGGCAGGGAATGAACCGAAAAAATAGGAAACGTGATGCCTAGCCAAGAGTCCTTGCTGAGGTCCGGCAGAACTCGTGGGCCTGGCACATGCAGATTGACCACTGACTCAGATGTCAGGAGGGCTTCACTTTCATGGAGCAACTGGCGGGATGCAAGATGGAAATCAGTACCTGCAATCCAAATTTTGTATTTTGTGTGTTGTCAGTTGAAGTCTGATGTCTGTTTCTCTTTCTTGGAGTGATTTTCTTTCTGCAATCAGCATGATGAAAAAGAAAATAATGCTCATAAATGAAGTCAGCATATAGTACTCACTGAGCTGGAGGAAGTTGGCAGCTGCAGAAATTCTGTTTTCACTTTACATTAAGTGGCATTAATTACACTGCTATGTAACTAAGTATAACCACATGGTCGTGCATCAGGATCCTGCTCTTGTTTCAAGGGCACTAGGGTGCAAGTGTGTGGCTATTGGGTGGGGAGGCCAGGCTCTCTTCTTGGTCATCTCTCAGGAAAGAATGTATCATTTTGCCCCAGGACCTCATTCTATGCCAGAGGTTGTCAAGTGCCTCCCCTTTGCCAGAAAGGGAGCCAAGCTCAGATCAGACCAGGAGCACCTGGTTTACCAGGTGAGTCAAAGCCATTTCCCCTCTCGCCCAAAGTGTGAGGTGTGTGAAATGTGCCTAAGCCAGAAACCTTTCTCTGCAGGCCTTAGAGTTGGCTTTGAAAATGAGGTCACAACCAAGTTCAGATTTTCAGGTTTTCCCATTAAATCTATTAGTGTTACAGACCAATGTGACGTCCAACAAGAATGTCTGGTTTATGGTTCTACTTGTGAATGAGGTGACACAGGATCTAGCAACTCCCAGCCAGGCAGTGGGAACTTCTCAGCACATCCCTGCTAACCAGGACATCTTGACAAGGGAGAAAGAGCAGCACTTTAGCCTCCTCGCAACCATTAACCAGCTATGAGCCTTTGGACAAGGTAAACTGTTGACTCACTGACCCTCCCATAGGTCATTTTAAAGTGAAGACAGCTTAGCTGCTGAAAAGTAAGAACTTGACTTAGTAGAGCTCAAAGCTCTTCTCGGCTCAAAGATCTGGGATTCAAAATATACTTTTTCTGTATTTCTCAGGGCAGAGACCTTTATTTTTACTTCTATATCCTGAGTAGTTGGTACACCACAGGAACTCATTCACATTGGATTGAATAAATAATTAAATAAGTATAATTATAAAGTTCAAGAAAAATATATTCTCCCAAATAATCTATAGTGCAGCTACCCAACCAACTATTTTTTGTGTGTGTGCAAAGAATGAGACTCAGCAAGACAGTTCTACATACCAAGGGGCCCCGCCAAGGACAGAGTTGTCAGAAGCAATGAGAAAAAGGGCAGGTGGGGACACTCCTACCTTTCAGAGAGCTGGGAGCCTGAGAAGACGGGCAGGTATGCAGTCACTCCCAGAAATGCCAGGCTGTCTTGTTTGTGCAGATCAGGGAAGACTTAAGGCTGTCTGAAATAATAATTTTGTAGGTATGAATATAGCTCCTCCCTCTCCAAACCTTTTAAGTCAATGGCTCTGTAATATCAGAAGATGAACTTATTTATTCCCAGACCATTGAAAATTTTGTATGGTTTGGGTACAAAACCAGCAACAATAGATAGAGACTCCTCTTTGATGTCCAGATGCAGTGGAGGTTCTTGCAGCTGTGATCTGATCTGTGGAAGGAAGAAGGCATCTGGTCTCAGGCAGCACTTAGAGGCTTGCCTATCACCTGAGGAGCTACACAGGATTCAGAGAAGTCCAAGTTAGTAGGGTCTTGTCTGGAGAAATGAGTTTCAGCAGATGGAGCTAAGATAGCAAAGGACATTTCACTCTGTTAGTGGAAGAAGCTCAGCTATTTGGGGGATTCCTTAGGGATCCATTTTATCATCTTCCATCCACAACTATATTTGGGGTTATGTGCTTCCCATGGTAATAGTCAGCTATGGCAAGTCAAAATTGGTGTAGACAGGGCTGCTGCATACATTGTAGATACACTGTAGAGCTTACCCTGACAACAAGCTTCTTAGCCTGTGAGGTGAATAGGGATTAAAATTTAGCCTGGTCTCCATTCACCAAGTGACGAACCCCTGTGCTGGATATGTTGTTCCCCAGTGGAGTACTGTGGCTAAGCTACTTACTGTTGGAGTTGCATCTGCCCAGAGCAATGCCTTTTTTTCCCTCTAATTTGCTAGGTCAGCAAGTTATGTGCCAATTATTCTCTATTTTCTCTTCCCCATTCATTATTTTTCTTTGTCCTGCTTGGTGCCCCAGATGGTGGCCTGCATATAATGCATCTGAAACTTTCTTATCTTTTGGCTTCCAGTGGGGTTTAGCCAATTGGAATTACCCATAGGAGATGGTGAAGGTGGGAGAAATGAGAGACCAGGTTATTTATTTTCTCTATCACCACCCTCCACCTCCCCACTCCCATGCATCATGCTCCATCCCAGTCCCATCATGGCTCTGAGAATGGCTGCGGTCCCTCTGGGCAGCCCCAGCTCTCACTGGGTTGTAGTAACACCATTCCTTCTAGTCCTTCAAGAGGAGGGGTAACGACAGCTTTCACTGATGAGACACTGTTTCCCGAGTGTCTCATCAACACTTGTATGTTCCCTCTGCCCTGATCACTCCTCCATAAATTATCCTTTTATTCAATTCTGTTCAATTGAACCCTTTTGACTGTGTCATCTTTTCCTGGCTGGGATGCTGATTGGTATAGGGAACCTTTTTCTAATCTGCACAGGTGGACCATGTAGTCTAGCAGAGACAATGGCACTTTGAAAATCAAGACAAGTATCTGCCAGTCACCTAGGGATCTCTGAGATTTTCAGGATGGGTGCACTAACAGAATCAGGAGTGTTAACTAAAGTATTCATTTCTGTTACTGCTTTCAGGGCTCTTTGCATTCTGGCCACATAGTTCTTCCACTACTCTCCTTGCTCCAGGCTGAGTGTTCCTCACTGTCCTTCTAACATGCCTTTGTAGGTATTGTTCCACTACCTGAAGCCCCATTCCTCTTTTTGGAAAGGGTATATGACACAAAATAAAATGTTTTGCTCTTAAATTGGACAGAAATGAATTAGATACTGGCTCTGTCAGTTACTACTAGGGAAATTTAGTTCCTGCTCTCAATTCTTAACTCTCTTATTATAGAAAGACATGTCCACACCCTTGCCATGACCTCATGGTGGGTAGTGTGGACTTCCTTTCTAACCCTTGACTTTAGGATTGGCCATATGACTTGTTTTGGCCAATGGGATATCAGTACATGGGACTTGAAATATGCTCACAGAGTGTGGCTTGCCCATTTGTGTTCCCATAATAAACCATGAGAAGAACATTTTCAGTCAATTGTGGTTCCTTCAGCCCGGGCCCCAGAATGAGTCATATGATGCAGACCATGTATTCCACATAGCCAAAGTCCAAAGTGGATATGGCAGGTACAGCAGCTTAAGGCCAGGGCGCAAAGACAGAAAACTGAAGACCAGCCCAGCTGAGTTACAGCCAACCTACAGATCCATGAGCATGTGAGTAAATGGTTACCATTTCACACTACTGAGTTTTGGTGTGGTTTGTTATACAGCATTACTGTAGCAATAGCTGACTAACACATTACCTATGTGAACTTGAAAAATAATTCAATTTCTAAAAGTTTCAGCTTCCTTCTTTGTAAAATGGTAGTGATTATAATATTTTATAGGGTATATAATATTTTATAGGGTTGTTGTGAAGGTTAAATGAGGCACACAGAGTGGTCTGCATAGTGCCTGGCACAAAATAAATGCTCAAAAGGGAGTATTTTTCTTAGTTAGTAATCACTGAAAAATCACTACACAGTGTTCACTCAGCTCTCCTTTCATGCACGGAGTGTTTGCTGAGCACTGCAGCTCCCACGATGACTGTCTCTCTCTGAACTTCCATCCCATTAGTTACCTGTGTAATTAATTTAGCTTCATATCTTTTCACCCACTACTTTTAATGTGTATTATGTGTGGAAAGTATAGAATTCAAAATATTTTCCTTCCATCAATGAAAACATGGTCATAAGACTGTGTTAGGCATTTTCTCTGTCATTTAAATTTCATAACAATTCTATAAAGTAAATATTGTTATTCGAATAAAATGCCTAAATTCCTTGGCCAATAAGTGGTGGGGAAGTGTTCAAACATGTGTCTTTTTGCTGCAAAGCACCACTAACTCTTCATTCTATTAGAAGAGATGACACATAACCAACTAACTCCAATTCAGGGTAATTGCATATACCTTATCATTAGGTAAATTATGTGCTACAGATGGGCATGCCTCCCTGATGGGTGTTAATCCAATATCATTAAAAGACAGGTACTAAGCTCTGGGATATGGAAATGAACTCAACCAACTCTTGTTTGGGGGGACCCAGATTCTAATAACTAAGCCAGACTCATGGAAAGATCATTTCAACATAATCTGGAAAATACTGAAGCTACGAATATTAGATTTGGAGAAAGCTTCATGGAAGGAAGAGGATTTGAGCTACATCAGGTTAGTTGATTGAAGAAATAAAGGCAAACTTTTCAGGCCAAGGGAACAGCATGAGCAAATCTCTACCTGTACAGTTATGTACAAAAAATCATCTGCACACATGTATCTGATATTTTGCAATTGTCAGTGGCCTGAGAGCAGGAGCTATGCCTCCTTTACAACCCCCCTTCCTCCACACTCCACTCAACACAAAGCTGAGGACCTAGGGGGAGCTCAACAAAATCTTTTGTTTGATTCAGTGAATGCCTCCTACTCTCCCCAAGGAGACAGAGAAGGAATAAGTGGGACCATGGTCCCCCTAATTTCAAGGCCAATACCATGTTGCTTCCCAGACAGTAGAGTTGAAGCATACAGCTGAAGACGGGCACTACTATTTCTATGTGGCAGAGCTCATCAGTGGTGGGACTGGAAATGGAGTCCAGGATGGCTGGTGCTGCACCGATGTTGTTAGCACACTATTTCTCAAGAACCAGCAGTTCTGGTGTCTGAAGTTCCCCCAAAGCTGACTTCAACACATTCAGGAGACAATTTCAACAGAACACATGGAGGACACAAAAACACTCCCCTAATTTCAACAGGAGTAAACCAGAAACACGTGGAAAAACATCTTGCTCAGATGAGTTGTTTATAAATCTTCTTTTTCCTCTCATGAATATATCCAGTCATCATAGTCTTTGTTCATTTGGAATATTAAATAACGTCACAGTTGCCTACATAGGAGAAATTATCTTTAAATTGTACTTGAAAATGGCTTTGTCTTTCAGGAGACTTTCATTTTATAATTGTCCATTGTTCTTGTTTTTTGTGCTTTAACAGATGAAAACTGTCCATAGGAGTTAATTCAGCAAGTTAGCTATCCCATTGCCAAGCAAAACTAAAGTTGTTATCAGCTGTTGGAAGATAATTCAGTTTGCCTTTAAATGGTGTTTGCAGAATAACTTATAACATATATCAAAAGTATTTTAAAATCTGAACTAGGAAACTGTGGGAACCTTTAATAAGAGACGTGCAGCTGATCTGCCGTTCTGCGAACTGAAGCTATTTTCTAATGTTTATTTTTTAACTAAAGTGCTAAGTGTCTCATTCAAGTGGCAATAGGTGGTTAATCCCCTGTAAAAGTTCTTGGATGGATTCCTTGTAAATGTGAATTATTAAGAAGAAAATGTTACAGGGTTTCTTAGGAAATCAATACTTTATTATGCAATAATTGGATCTGCAAGTTTAATGTTCTCCATAAGCCCCAGCACAACGAAAGAGGTCACTGGGTGAGATGGTGCAAAGGGTCCTTGCCTGACCTGGAAAATCTTCTAGAATTTGAGGCCTAGTAAAGTGCCGCAATGTCATTAAAATATTTTCACAAATACAACATTTATTATGGAAACCAAATTGCAAGAACATCTGTCTGGATGACACTTTGGCCCAAAGTTGGATCTAAACCTGGTAACAGTTATAATTGAAACTGTGGCTTCATTTTTCTCTCAAGATCTTTGATTTTTCCTTGCCTCTCAGAGCAATTTATTTCTCAAAGCTACAGCAGTTCATTTTTGTTTTCCTAAACCTTCCTGGGCAAACATACCAGCTCTTCCAGTTTCCTACCAAGTAATCATGGAAGGCGGGAAGGAAGAGAAGGCGCCCTCAAGGAGATAAGTGGTAGCTCAAAAACCATTCTTCCACGAATTTCTGGGTCACTGTCTAATTGATACGCCTATTGGCAGGCCTCAGATTTAAGCCTCTTCTGACTTCACAGGCAGTTCTCATTCTGCATCCAGCCATGTGTGAAGACTCGAGGCATTGAACATGGACCCCCCCCCCCACACCAAATTTAGCCAGCTCTGCTTAAAGCACTCAGGCTGGGGAACTGTACCATAGCAAAGTACCCCAAACAGTTGTTTTTCCATTATGATCCTCAGCCTGGCATTTATTATCATTTTTTATTGCACACTTTTAAAGGCAATGGTCCATTTTACTTAGATCATTAATTTGCAAAAATCATGACATACGAGCAGAGATGTTATTTTTTTATGGGCCATGCTATACCTCTATAGGACCCCAAAGTAAGTGAGGTGTGGGTCTCAGCACATTATAAGAGGAGACCCTGGGACCACAAGCTCCATACTCTTCCCCAAATAGAAAAGACCACAGTACTTTCACAGGAATAATACAGCTGGATGAATGGAGATACGCACAAATAATTGACAGTCTGAATAAATGAATGAACAAATAAGCAATAGAGTGAAGCTCCAATCAGCAGTGGAGCATGGCCCACAGACACCTGCACGTGGAGCTGGAGATCTTGGGCCTGCTTATGCCCAGTCACTCACCAGCTGTGCAACCACTGTCAGTGACCCTCTCAGCATGCACCTTGCCCTTGCCTCTGTAAAATGGTGATGTGGTGGTGGTGATGATGATGATGATGAAGATACCTATTTCACAAAATTGGCTGGGAGAAGAGTCCTGCAGAGTCAGGGCTGCAGAGCCTTGGTTTAAATCTGAACTTTTCTCTCTTGTTTCTTCTGTCACTGTAGGCATCATATCCTCTCCACAGGTGTGTTTCTTCATCTATAAAATGGGAATAATGTATTAAATTCCTAGGGATATAGGTGATAATTAGATGAATTAATACATGTAAAGTACCTAGAAGAGTATCTGGTGCATAATAAGCTAGATATATTACAATACTACTTTGGTATAATAGTGTTACATAGATACACTCTGCATTGCCTTCATTCTTGTTGTTGTTACTATTATCATAGTTAAGATTATATACATTGTGATTCTCAGTTGCAATTAAGAGAGTCAAGTCCAGCAACTTCAGCAGAATGAGATATTAGAAAATATTAAAGGGATCATAGACTCTCCAAAATAATCAGGGACCCTGGCTTGTTCATTATATACAGCCAGAAGCAAACCAGGCAGAAGACCCAGCTCCACTGTTACTATGAAACACTCCTGTTCAATGCCAGGCACTGACCACCTCTGAGACGAATCCAAGAGCTGTGCCACTGCTCTCTGAGAGGAAGCCTTTATGCCCTGAAGATCCAACTTCTCTTTACATAGCTGCTTCCTCTTGTTTCTCCAAGTCACAAATGGGATGTCTCTAATTGGTAGAGCCGAAGCTATTAGTTGGTATTCTGGCTCCAAAGAAGTCTGATAAATGTAGTCCTTAGCTTTCCAGCCTGCACACCGTAAGAATACTAAGAAAAACTAAGAAAAGCTAAAAGAAAGTTGGAGTGAGTCAGCCTACAATGTCTGCTATGAGGATTTTTAAATAAATATAGGTCTAGCAGCCACTTTTTGATCTAATAAGGTAGACAGGGTTTGCTTTTGGTTTGTTGTCCAGAGATTAGTTAGGAGTTACCAAAGATTAATATTGTAATTCTGCTTGTAACACTATTGTGCTTCCACTAAGTCTAGGCAAGTAGAACTGACCTATGACTGGCTCCCTGTCTGTGACTTGAGGAGAAGGGTGATTCCTCTTCTACCATCACTCTGTGCCCTGTGTAGACCAATAAGGTAGTCCTTTTGCATCTTCACTCTTCGGGGGCATGTACATAGACTAGTGTGATCTAGAAGGACCTGGATGGAAGTATGTACTCCTGGAAGAGTGACTCTGGAAACTGTAAATGTATGTTTCAAGTACAAGGATCTAGGAGGTGCTGGCTGCTTGAAGAGGACCAGCAACCCTGGGGACTATCAATGACCATTAATGCAATTAATCATATTTCAAATCAACAAAATGGTAATTACCTACAAGGTGTGGTTTAGAAATTGTCTGGATATTGATAAACATAGAGATTCAGGAAATCTGGGCCCTACTTCTCATCTGTCACTGCTGCATATGTGAACTTCTTTAAGTTATTTCCGCTCTCGGACCTCATTTAAAAAAGCTTCCTCATTTAAACTCTACATCTCATTTACATTTTTAAAGTTCTACCTTCTGTGCTTTGATGTGTTTACATACTTAAATATTTCTTATCAACAGAAATAACTTTTTTAAGTTTTACAATTATAAGTCTTGTCTCAAAGACTGAAAAAGAAAGCACTAGCCCTGGCTGGCGTGGCTCAGTTGGCTAAGCATCGTCATGCAAAGCAAAAAGTTGCTAGCTCGATTCCCACTGGGGGAATGCGAGAGGCAACCCATTGATTTCTTTCTCTCACATGGATGTTTCTCTCCCTCTCTCTCTCCCTCTCTCCCCCATTTCTGAAATAAATAAATAAAATCTTTAAAAAAACAAAGTGCTATACAATCATGATCTTGTTAAATCATGAAAAGAATAACAATTATTATCAATGGAAAAAAATAACTAAGCTTGATCATATTCACTGTTGGTGAATTTATTTTCAGGCAGTGAATTTTATTTTACTTTTGCTTGTTTTCCTTCAATCAAGCCAGTGAATCACTGGCTACTTAGATATGAAAATTACATTCTCTTTATTTCCTATTTAATGTCAAATAAACTTATACAGTATAGCTAAACATATATTATGAAACCTATCAAAGCAAAAAAAAACCTTTCAAAAGTTCTTGCTTTAGAAATTGTTGCAAGACATGAAGGTTAATTTCATTTATGTGGCTTAATCTTCAGAGCATATTAACCTTGCCATGAAAAGTAAACTTAAGCCAGCTTCCTCATTGTCTCAAATTCTATAAGAGTATCCACGCTAAAGTAATAAAAAAGTGAATGGTTTAGATTAGATTGTTGGAAAGGGCAAAAAGTTAGTATTATCTGAAAATTATATAATCTTTTCTGCTTATAAAGTCCTAGAGAATCTACTGAAAAACTATTTTCTTCAAAGTGTTTAGCTGAAGTAACGAACTGCTTATAAAACAGTAATCAAAATCAATAGATTTACAAAATACATACATTTCATAAACATCAGCAATAATCAGCTGGAAAGTAAAATGGGAAAATGAGGCCATTTAACTAAGCACAAAAATATACACTACCGGAAAGTGACTGTAGTAAGAAACATGTGTTCCATGTGTAAAGCAAGCTACAGTACTTAACCAACGAATATATACAAGAAGTGGGTAACTGGTGAAGAAAGCTGCATTCTTGGGTAGAAAGTTTCAACATTGCAAAAACTAATTAGTTTTTAATGGACTTCAACTCAAAAATCCCAACAGTGCTTTTTGTGAGGGGAGAGAAGTGCAGGGAAATAACCTAAACACATCTTAAGGAAAATACACACAACAGATAAAATATTTCTCTCTAGCACAAGGGTGGAGACTGGACTGATTGAGTCCTGTCTCTGACATTCAGAGCTTGGGGGATCCATACAAATCACTTTTCTTTATGGCTTCTTTGTCGCACTGGTGAAAAGGACTCATCTTCATCACTGTATGCCACAGCATCCAATGAGACAATGTATGGGGGTGGGAAAAAGTGGGTTTATAGTTGTGAGTACATGAAACACAGTTTATTCTTGTATTATTATTTATTAATTATTATATTATTTAGCCATATGAACAACTGTAAACCTATGTTCATCCACCTCTGTATATGAAAGTGTCCTGTAAAATTCCAAATAGAGACACAAATGTTAGTTATTATTCACTTTCAAAATTAGATAAATGGAACAGTAATAAGACTCTGAGGTCATATAATATATGCACACTTAGCACTCACTGCTCAAAAGAGGATTGGCCAGCATATAGTGAAGCAAATAAAAGCTGAACTAGTTCAAGGAACAGATGAGTTTTTAGGAAGTGAGGAAGAGGTCTATCAAGGTGCATTAATAGACAAGTTTTACAAACACAGCTGTCGGTATGAAAGAAAGGACAGTAAAAAAAGTAGTGCATTATTTTAAAGCTACTTAAAGTTATACTTCACTGAGCATTTACTATGTACTAAACACCATAGAAGATTTATTTCACAAGGAGTCTATAAAAGCATTATTTATTATTCCTGTTTTAGAGATAAGGTTTTATAGGTAAAAATGGAGAGCTAGAATGAAAAGCAGGCTAGTTTGACTACAGAATCCTCAACAAACTGCTTAACAATCACAATAAACTGCTTCTATATAGAACTTTGATCTTTGCAAAACACTTTCATATCAGCTTCCTCATTTGAGCTAGTCAGCAACTCTATGTAAGTGGACTAATTCTTACACTAATAATCTAGATGAAAAACTGAGTCACCAGGAGATTACCTGGTTGCACATCAGAATTTCGAGTGGAGCACTGTATAGTTACAGATTCCTAGCCCCTCCTCTGAAACCCATTAAATCAAAATATCTAGGGATGACATCCTGGAGTCATTCTTAAACAGTTGTACAACTGGGACTTCCTGTCAAGAAGGCGGCGTAGGCAGACATAGCTCACCTCTTCGTACAACCACATCAAAATTACAACTAAAATATAGAACAACCATCACTCAAACTCACCAGACATTGAGTTGAATTGTAAGTCTGACAACTACAGAATTAAAGAAACCGCATCCATCCAGACTGGTAGTTGGGGTGCAGACACATAATGGGCTGGTCCCTCACCTACATGTGTTGGATAAAAATTTGGGAGGAATATTTGGGGGCAAGTAGTCCCAGCCCTATACCAGGCCCCCCAACTCAGGGTTCCAGTGCCAAGAAGATAAGTCCCCACAACTTCTGGCTGCAAAACCCAGCAGGGATTGAATTGGTGAAAGAAACTTCTGGAGCCCCAAGCAGTTCCTCTTAAAGAACACACATGCACAGACTCACTACCTCTGAGCTACAGCACCAGGGTAGCAGCTTGAAAGTCACTAGTGGCATGAAGGGAGGAACTGAAGTGTCTGGCATCAAAGAGAACAGAAGCCATTGTCCCTTTTCTAAACCCATCCTCAACAGAGCCACAGAACTAGCAAGCTGGTGCCATATCTGAGACTCCATCAACCTGGCTAATGCAGTTTGACCTGCCTTGGAGATCCCCAGACACTCTGCCCCATCAACACCCAAGGTGCTTTTCCATATGAATGGCTGGTCTTGGCTCATGCTCCACGACTTCCTAAATCCTATCAAACAAGAAACAGCTGGTCTCAGTGAGCCCCAGGCCTGGCACTAGCAGCAGCCAGCCTAGATTCACAGCTTGGCTTCATCTGGAAATGTCTAAGCCAAGGGACTGGTAAGAAATATTCAAAGTCATGAAAAGCAGGGACCTACAGCCAGATAAAAAGCTACCCAGACAAGAAAAAACTAAAGGAGTTCATCATCACTAAACCATTATTATATGAAATGTTAAAGGGACTTATTTAAGAAAAAGAAGATCAAAACTATGAAAAATAAAATGGCAATAAATACATATCAACCATTGAATGTTAAAAACAAACTAAGCAAACAAAAAAAAAACCATAGACAAAATCATGGATAGACACCTTTTTGACAGTTGCCAGATAGGAGAGGGGTGTGGGGGAATGGGTGCAGAGGTGAGGGGATTAAGAAGTACAAATAGGTAGTTACAGTCTAGCCATGGGGATGTAATGTACAGTATAGTAAATGGAGTAGCCAAAGAACTTATATGTATGACCCATGGACATGAACACTGGTGGGGGAATCATATGAGGGAGCGGAGGGGGCTGGATGGAGGTGGGCAAAGGGGAAAATCAGTATAACTATAATAGCATCATCAATAAAATATTAAAAATAAAAATAAAAAATAAAACCTTGCCCAGCTGATTCTCAAGCAGCTACACTGGGATTCCCTAGATCAATGGTTCTCAAAGTGTCGGGTCCAACCAGCAGCATTCGAATCATTACTCGTCAGAATCTGGGGTTTATACACTCTCCAGAGGCCCTTAGGTATACCATGGTTTGAGAATCACTGATCTAGATGAAAAGAGGTGACCTAGTGTAGTGATGAAGACAACAGACCTGCAAGCCTGTCAGCCTACATCGAATCTCGCCTCTGCCACTTCCTAGCTTAGGCAACTACTTAATGTCCCTGGCCTTGGTTTAAACTTGTTAGATGAAGATGATTGTTTTTCCTTCACAGCATTATTATGAGGAATAAATGAGTTAGAATTAGTAAAGAACTAAAAATAGTATCTAACAGAGAGTAACAGCTTAGATAAAAATTAAGGTTCTTGCCTAGGATTAAAGCTATGAATGAAGTGAGAGAGTGAAGCAGCAGCTCAGGAAACGAGATCCTTGGGAAGCAGCAGTGGCAGGGGTGTCGATCTGGAACATGAGGCCCACAACCCCACTCACACATCCTAAATAACTGGGGAGAGTGTGAAGGACAATTTGAACAAGCCACCCGCCAGAAGCCTGGATCCTGCCCTGACTTATAGAAGCTTAGAAGAGCACTGAACCACCTAAGTCCTAGCTGTGTGGCCTCAGGGAATTCACTCAACGCCTCTGGGCTTCAGTTTTCTCGGTGGGAACAACTGAGATAATAGTAATAACCTGACTTGCTCCATGGAATGGGTAAGAATCAAGTAGAGTTATTAGATGTTGTTATGTGTTTTAAAAGTCAAAGGTCTTAGGCAAGTGCTCAGGATTATTATAGCATCCTCTCCCAGTCTAAGCATCTTTTGACATTGCAATTAACTCTTTCTAGTCTGGAGCATTGAGATGATCCAGTATGAGAAGATGAATGGTAACTCTGAATTCTAGAATTTCTTTTTTTTTAAATTGTCAAGTTATTTTATTTTATTTTAAATTTTATTGTATTTTTTTTCATTACCATTTAGTCCTCTTATGCCCCCTTACCCCAGCAATCACCACTCTGTCATCCATGTGCATGAGTCCTTTTTTCTTTTTACTAAATCCCTCCACCCCTTAACCCCAGAATTTTACACTACAGTTGCTTACCTCAAAGTCCCAGAGCTATTGAATTTAGCCATCAGCATGGGGCTGGCCAGGCCAGAGGGGTTGCCTAGTATAGCAGGTTGGCCTAGGGTATGAACAAATACATGAAATACTTAAGATACATTTTTTAGAATCTTGATAAACCAGATAACTTTTATAACAGCCACAAAGGGAAGCTTCATTTTTAAATATCTTATTGAAAGGCCTTTAAAAATATATAACCAAGTGCTTAGAGTATGCAATTACCTGAGGTCTCTTCCAATCCAGATCTGGCTGCATGACTTTTCTAGAACAGAGCAGGCAGGGCAAAGCCCAGGGAGATCAGTTGCTACCACAATCTTTGCTCTCTTGGTAGATGATGACAAGCACTCTTGCTATCCACGGACTCGGAAGCTGTGGAGCTGCCCCCAGCACCGCTGGCTTCTGTCCTCTCTCTGAGGAAATTGCAGATGTCTGGTGCCCTTCCTTTGTGTCCTTCATCCAGCCCTTTAAGCTATTGCTGGGCACCACGCATTTGTGCTATACCTGCACTCAACCATAGACTGATCTTTCTGCTTGGATGACTCCATGCTCCAGAGAGCTTGAGAACAGTCACTTAGCAGAGACACAGCTGGCTTCTTTGTGTGCTGACTTCCAGGAGCTCAGACAGGAGAAGCACCTACTGGCATTTTGCTTCATCATTACTTCAGGGCCCAGCCTGCTTGGCCTACTGTGATTAGATCACCTCCCCTGTGCTCCCCTGCCAGGTGTGTGCCCATGCGGGTGCCTCTAGCCATCCCTTGACTGTGCAAAGACCATTGCATTCTGGGGAGAGCAGATCCAACCACAGGGCTGGCAAACACATCTCTGTATCCTAACTCAACTTACATCAGGCTTCAGTGGCCTCCTGTAGGGTCATTTCCTAGTTTCCTTCCTTTACCTGGGGATCAAGCTAATGTTCCTGTTTATAAATGAAGCTAGAGAGTATAAACAGGAACTATATGTCTGCTTCTCCAATCTGAATGAAGTTTTAAATTTGCTGCCTTGTAGGTTTTTGAAGAATCCAATCTAATTAGACTGGAAATGAAAATGATTTTCAATGCCTGAAACACTCATTAAATTTCTATGATCCTGGAAACCCGAAAGGGGCTGCAAGTAATGGCAGGCCCAGCCCAGCATCTACCCATCCCACCCGGCCCCTTCTTATGCCACTTCCCCCACACCTACAGCTTCAGCTCCATGGAACCCAAAGGAACAATTCTGGTTTTAGAAAAATGTAATTTAAACAGTATTCCAAAACATCATTCACTTCTACCGTGGTTCCTCACTTATGTCCCTGTGTCCAAGGTAGGGCACTTTGCTTATTTCCAAGACCCAGACCCTACTGGGCCCTACATGAGGTATCTGGGCCTCTGCCTGAGGTTGTTCCCCAGGCCTGTTAGGCCCCGCCCACCCCTGTTGCTTTTCTTCCTCCTCTCAACAGTGGTCCTGCTCCTGAACCTGAGTCCAGCTGGGGCCCTAGTTTCTAAAAGACTTCCCTGGATTATGGGGTCTTCTCCACTTGACACTTTGCCATACCAGTCACAACCCATTGTTGCCTTCTTCTGATGCCATATTTTATACACCAACCTGGAATTCCTAGCACTTACTTGATCTATTCTAGTAGATGGCTCAAATTTTAGTCCTGGCCTCTGCCAGGCTGTCCTCTCTCATTGCTGTAAAATGGGTCACACCCCATCATACTCTAAGACAGAGCAGTAGAGTATAGGCTTGAACGTTAGGCCTCCTGAGCAATCATGGACAAAGCTTCATTTTTGAAGAGATTCGCTATGGCACAATGTAGGCCCAGGAGAGATGATGAGAAGTAAATTAATGAATGGAACTTGTTTGCCCATGAGAGACTCTTGATTACTTAATGAAGCCAGGTGGGTACTGGAAATATTGGGGGAACACTTTATAAAGTATATGATTTTCTAACCACTATGCGGTACAGCTGAAACAAATACAAAATAATATTGACTGCAAACTGTAATTGAAAAAATTTTAAAAATAAAAAAACAAGCTCAGGTATCACTGTGTGTCTCAAAAGAATCCTTTGGCTGGTATTACACGGAGAGGGCAGCCCCGTGTGTAGACAGGGATGCACTGCTCGGGCTGCTCAACCAGCCTCCAGATTGCAGGTCTCCTTGAGGACAGTCGACCTAACAGACAAGCCAAACTCATCCAGACAAAGGACTCAGGCACCTGGGCCGCGGCCTAAGATAGGGCAGAGACCCTCCCACTTCACAAATAAAGCCTGTCCAAAGGGAGGGAGACCGGGAAGTAGACAAAATCTCACCCCAACCAGATGGGCGGCGGTATAACATTGGAAGGACAGGAGAGCCAGGAAACCTTTCTTAATAAAAAAAAAGAGAACAATTGACTAGAAAAAAGTAGCCCAGCCAGTCTCTAAAACTAGTGTCAGAAAGCTCCTCCTCCAGCCACTCTCGCTCTTACTGTTGAGCTGCAGAACAATGGGAATAGGAGGCAAAGCAAGGGGAGAGTTTTCACACAGGTCTAAGAGCCTCCAAAGCTGTGGGCAGGGGGATTGAGAGGCATCTAAAGCTGCCAGACTGCTGCACGTTAATCCTGGTGATAAGCAAGCTCTCGAGAGAAGAAGATTCCAAGGCCTGCTCTGCTTTCTTTCAACTCTAGTCAGAGGAGAGGGTGGGCAGCAGAGGGAAGGGAAGCTGGATTCTTTCTGTTCTCTGGCCAGAGAGAACTTTCTTTAGGCATTTTGAGAGAGCCATCAGTCAAGAAGTCAGAAACAGCCAAAGTGCTAATAACAGCAGAGACTGCTCTCCCCTCAGTGGTCATGGGCATGCCCAGACTCTGAGAGACACCTCCTTGTACAGGGTGACCAGATAAAATTCAGAATAGCCAGTGAAATTTGAATTTCAGATACACAATGCATAATTTTTCAGTATAAGTGTGTGTCCCATGCTTATACTTGGGGACATGCTTATACTTTTAAAAATTGTGTTGTTGGTTTGAAATTCAGATTTCACTGAGGGCTTTATATTTTTATTTGCTAATCCTTGCAATATTTTCACAAGCAGATGGCTCACCCAGCCCCAGAGGCATTTGATGATGTGACCAGCACAGAAAAGAGGACTCTAGACCACGACGGGGTGTGAAATCATAAACACTCCTGCTTCTGAGGAAACATACCTGCTGGATCTGCTCCCCTCTCCTTTCCACCAGTCCAACCTTCTCCATTCCTCACTCCCTATAGTTCCTGCCCCTCTCCCTGACCACTCCTCCCACAAGGAGACGGATGACCTGACTTGACTTCAGGGCTACATGCAGGACTGCAGTTTTCTCCAATGATGCCAAGTGTGCATTTTGATTTTTCAGTTCTCAAAGACAAAAATCTTTCTACTTCTACCGTGTTCCTCCTAAATACATGCAACCCACAGCTCAAGGGCTTGGCATATTGTGAGGGTTTAGTGGTCAATTTAGGAGTGTTCCAAAGTAAAGGAACCTTAGAGGCCACCTAGTCTCACTCCCAAATTTTGCCAATAGGGAGACTGAGACCCAGAGAACTGAAAGGACTTACCCAGAAACTTGACCCCTGTAAGTGGAGAGGGAGGCAGCCAGGTTCTGATTTACTGGCTTCACTGTGGAACTTTCTACTGTATCCGTGCCTGGCACAATACACCATAAACACAGTCATTCTCAGGAAATATTTAAGTGAACTAATGAATGAATGAACAAACTAATGAAATCAGTGCCCAGTGAAGACTTGCTAATTGTATGGGGGCTCTTTCTTAGGGGAACTTCTGGGTTTCTGAAATCGTCAGTGTAAGCGCCGAAATCCAACCATCCCTCCAGTAGAGATGTTCTGAGAGCAGAGGAGCGGCATGAATGTCATTTCCTGCCACTGGACAAGGCTGGGTAAGTCTGGGCTGAGTTGGGAGGTAATGAAACACACCCTCCTTACTGGGCCAAAGGCTACTCTAAATTGCTACATGTGTAACCACGGAAACTCAAAGGAAAAAGCTATTTTAAACTACTTTAGCTATCTATGTGACCTTTAACAAGGTAATAATTGCTCCAACCTTTGGATTTCTCATCTGTCAAAAACATAAATAACACAAAAAGTTACCAATACAGGGATAAAATAAATATCATTTCATCCTGCCAGATCCCTGCCAGATTGCTAGGAAGTGAACAGTTTTTGGAAATGGCCTTGTGTGTTTTAGTAGGCCATTGATTCTCCAAGGGTGGTCTACAGCAGCAGCATCAGAAGTATCACCTGAGAACTTGTTAGAAATGCACATTCTAGGGCTTCAAGGCAGACTTACTGAATTAGAGGCTCTAGGGTTTAGATCTGGTAATCAGTGTTCTAACAAACCCATCCAGCACTTCTCATGCACAGTCAGGTTTCAGAGCCACTGTGCTAGGCTGGTGTTTCCAAGTGTATGATCCATGTACCACACACAACAAAAATACTCCGAGTTCTTATTAAAATTGCAAATTTCTAGACCCTACCCCAGGCTTGCTAAATCAAAACCTCTGGTGAGGGAGCATGAGAATCTCCTTTCTAAACATGCCACCCAGGTGACCCTGATGAACAATTTGACAATGGTGTTGAAGTAGCAATTGATGGCACTTCAGCATTTGTGGAGGTCACATCAGAATTCCTGTTTCCTCTTCTTCATGACCCTGGACACTTGGCTGGAGGTACAGTGACTAACCAATGCCAGTTGGCTCTAGAGGAGCGGTTCTATGGCTGTGTGGTTACCCAATCACGTTGGGAGAACCCGATTAGTCAGTGACCGATGAGAACAGGCCTCACTACCCAACCTGCTCTCCTAACCTGGAATGGCTTAGAATAGTCACCTGTCACCTTCTTTCTAGGGGTTGGGCCCAACTTGGTCTGACAAACATGATTTTTTAAAAAATGCATGCGCATGCACACATGCATACACACAGTAAAAAGAGTATACTAAAAATGGTTTTCTAGTGACATAAGTTCTCATCTGGTGAGAAATGGTCAAGGGAAGTCATAAAATATGCCCTCAGTGTTAATTCAACACAACTGATTACTTTCATGAAACCTGA